GCAAAAATAGACGAAGTGGAAGTAAGAAGAGCAAAGGACTGGATCAGTCAATACTATGCTCTGCAACAGAGTAAAAAACTTGCTCTCAATGACTGGTTCCGTTTATCTTTTGGGCACAGGCGTTTGACTGCCACCCCTGTTGTGCAAAAGTACGTCCTATTAGTAAATTAAGAGGATCTGTACATTGTAATTGCACATTTTGATTTGCAGATTCGAGAACACGCATGCATCCAGTGACGAGGTCTCTGACGAGGAATCTGATGAACTATCCAATTCTGATACCGAAGAAAATAATTACCAAGACGACATCTGTCTTGGTCTATCCTATCGTCGGGGCCTCAGGAAAAGCTTTTTTGCTAAGTCACGAGATCTCTTGCTATTGGAACTAGGTGGAACTCGTTGGGATTCCCTTATAATCCCTTCATCCATTTCGGTGCACCAATTGGATCGCCTTATTTCTTCGCATGATATCCATAATCTGTAAGTGTTCTAAAGCTCAGCTAGTTACCAGCTACTTTCGCATTCGTTCTACACCAGTCTTTCTTCAGCCAAAAGTCGGCGTCAGATATCCTTGCTCGATTGATTTCCCTTCGTTCTTGCCTACCTCATCATCCGGAAAATCTTGAAGTTGTCGACGATCTTGGAGGTCGTGAAGGAGTGGAGCGTCTTCTTGGGTCACTTGACGATATCTTAGTAAACTGCGCTAATGGTTTTGAACCAATTGACGATTTCTATTCAATCTTTCAAAGGCTTCAAAATCGTATCGAAGAGATTAAAGTCTCGTACTGTGAGAGCTCAATGGCAGGCACACTTCTAACCTGCTCTAGTCAGGTGATGTGGAAGTTAAAGGTGAGTCTAGCTAGTTTCATTATGTCAATTGTATCTTGATGTCTTTATTTTATTTTGTTGCTCTTTCCTGTAGGCTTCGCGTCAAAGAATAGCTACACTGGCCTCTACATGCGTTCAGCAGTGGATTAGGTTCTCAGAAACCTGTTTAAGCCTCTCAACCCAACCTTCAGAAGGCCTTAACCAACTTCTCCAAGCAAATTCTTGTTATTTTCCTTCTGAATCGCGAGCATTTGATCTGCCAAGGGTTTTGCTTGATTCCCGCTCCCGATTGGAGGAAATAGCCTGTCGTTTGGATCAGCGTATCCCACATGCATGCATTACAGTCACCGAGGATGTCATTGCCCAACAAAAATTGCTTCAGATAGCAGCAGACGACTTCCTGCAATGTTGTCAGAAGATTAATTCACTAACGTGCCCTAATACGACCCTCCTCTCCGGTCTCCTCTCCGTAGCTGAGTCCATTTCTACTGAGGTTAAGATTTCCGGTGATCTGCTCGCCCGATCTGTGTCGAATTCCACTACCTCCACCTCCTTTGAACACCACATGAATTGTCTTATTAACAAAATTTTGATCTGTCTCCAGGATCTTAAACATATTGATAAAGAAGTTGAAGAGGAGAGAGGCATGATTAATAAACTGACAAACTGTTTCTCAACTCTGCGAACCACTTGCACTCCTAGATTAAAGATTCTCGTCATCAGTCTTGAACATCTCACTCCTACCTCTTTTGATGATATTTCCTACCTTCAGTGCCTTTTTCCTCTTCTTGCTTCCCTTCTCAACGCCATGGCTTTTCGTCTCCAACACCTTTTTGCTCTCCTAATTTCCTGGCTCAACCTCGGCGAATTTCTCGCCCGCGTGACCTTCCATCTTCTTAACGACGGTTTCTGCAAACCTACAGCTCTTTCCACAGTTGCAGCAAATGAACAGCTTACGAAAGGGGAACCTTCAGCTGGCGACGGAGCCACTGGTGCCGAGAATGACAAAGGTGATGGTTGCACGAGTCTAAACGCAGAGGGTGTTGACACCAGTGGTGCTAAAGACGTTACCAAGGATCTGGAATCCCAAGAGCAAATTGAGGGTACTATTGATCAACAAGGTCAGGTATGTAAGAATGAGATGCTGTCTCAACATAATTGGGGGGAAGAGGGAATCGAAATGCCTGATGACTTGGATGGAGTATTGGACGATGGTAGTGGTTGGGATGGTAAGGGTCCTGAAGCTGACGAAAATGAAGAAAATGACCTTCAGGACATTGATAACCAGATGGGTGAGACCGGTGACGAGCCAGACGAAATAAATAAGGCAATGTGGGCTTCCGATGGCGAACAGGATGATGAGGACGAGGAAGAAGAGCGCAGAAACGCTGATCTGGATGAAGGAGGAGTCGAGGATCGAAGAGGTTCTAAGTCAGAGCGCTCAAAATCAACAGCCGTGAATGCGAAATCAGAAAATGGTAATGACAGGTCTTGTGAAGATGCAGTGCATTCTGACGAGGAGTGTGGAGAAGTTAACGATGCTACCGATACAAACACCACCGTTCATGATACTACAGGGGCGATGAAACCTAATGAAACCAGGACGGTTGCAGGTGATGAGGAAGAGAATGAGAGTAGCGCTTCAGAGGCACCAAAGCAGACGGAAGAGAGGCTAGCTCAAGAGGAGGCCAAGCTGATAGGAACCGAGCAGGCGGGTGAGGAAAAGTGTGAAGACATGGTGGAGGATTTTGGTGAAAACATGGAACTTCAACCGAATACCGATGACTTGGAAGATATATCTGGTGAGTTGTGTACATCTGTTATTGACTTGTAATTATTTCTCGTAAATAGAATCT